AATTATAATGAGTAAGACTATTATAATCCTAAAAAAAAATTATAATTACAAAAATACATTGATTTTCGCTCCAAGACGACGTAGTTTGGGCTCAATGTAAACCTACATTGAACCCTAATTTAATTTGCCAAACAAATAAAATTAGTTATAAAAAAAACTTATTTTAAAGAGGCAACAAATTAACACTTAATGGCGAGAATTAATGTTAAAAGATGTATTTCTTCTCGATCTTGTGTCTAGATATCGAAAGAAAAATTGTCAAAAAATGGTAAGAGTAAATACATTTTTAGGTCCCTAACAAAAAATACGGTTCCCTCTTTAGTCCTTTGGAAAAAAAAAATAGTTGTCTGGTCCCTAATAAATTCAAATTGGTGTCCTATTTTAGTCCTTTTGAGGGATTAATGTGAATCTTTTTTGAATTTGCGAGGGACCACGATTTCAACTAAATGGATCCAGTTTGAATTTATGAAGGACCTCAAAATTAATTTTTGTGTGTGTAAAGAACTAAAATGAAAATTATATTTTTTTTGTTAGGAATTCAAAAGAATATTTACGAGAGATTTGTGTTTGGTAAAACAAATGGGCCTGAGCACAAAAAAACAAGGCCACGACCAAACTGAGTTTATCTCTAAAGTGAACAAGAGTTTTTCTATTATTTTTTTAATTTTAAATATATGGTGTATATCTTAATTCACAGAAATCTAATGATAAACACACCCTGACTTATTTTAAAGACGGTCTCACTTTAAAGAATTTATTTTCAAAAAAAAAAAAAACAGAAGTAAAATTACATCAAAGTAATTATGCAGAGTACGTAGAGCCCTGAAAAATCAAACAAAAGAAGGACAGCTAATTGGAAAGGAGAATGGAGCAATTGATTTAGATGATGGTTCTGAACCAAACATTTTTTTTTCCATCCAAGACTATTTCCTTCCGGAAACATATGACTGTTGCATATTTGTTATATTCTAATTATTTAATTGATTTAAAATATATTTTGATGATTATAATTAATTTAATGTTGATTTAATTGATAATATTTTATATTCTTGAAATTACTAATGAGCTGATTGTTTGAGATTTCAGAATAATTATTATTATGATTTGAATTAGTATTCAAGATAATTGAAGATTGTATGAAGATTGAAGAAGATATGGAAGATATCATGAAGAAATAGAAAAGCATGAAATCAAGTAAAAAGTAGGATAGATTTTATCTTTTTAATCTCATGTAAGAGAAATAAAATATTATTTGCCAAAGATTTGATTAGGATTGCATTGCATAATAGATTAAGATGTTATTATTATAAATAGGGCTCATTATATATTATTTCAGAGTGGAGAAAATACAAGAGAGAAGAGAGAAGAATATACAAGAAATAAAAGAGAGAATTAGATTTTCAATATTAGAATTCTTTCTTGTGCATCAATTGAAGAGCTTTCTCAAGAACATTCATTTATACATTCATCCTTTGGCAAAGTGAATATTTCTCCATAGGAATTCGTATTACCTATATGCTTGAGGAAAAGAAGCACTGTGGTAAATACTTTAATTGTAATTTTCTTCTTGACCTTTTTGAAAGTCTGTACTGGGAAACTTGGATACCACCATGTCTCTTTTTCTTGGAAATTGAGAGTAACTTGAGAACCCTTGTGTGATAGGGTTTCGGAATCCTAAAGGGTTGAGGTTTCGTACTGGAAAACTAAGATACCAGTTTGAAAATTTGTGTAAGGGGTAGACTAGGAAACTAGGATACTAGAGAACTCTTTGTACACAAATTTTATAGTGGAGTGGCCCGTTGAATTTTAGTATTCGATTTTAGGGCTCGTGATTTTTCTTCTCTTTTGGGTTCTTCACGTAAAAATTATTGTGCAAATATCTCTCTATTCTTATCTTGATTTATTGTTTTGAGTTAATTTTTAATTAGCGAATTATTTTTATAAAACTCAATTCACCCCTCTTGAGTTTATCCGAGACCAACAATGACGAAATTATAGACTAATCCTACTGCTTCAGAGTAGAGAAATCATGAGAGAAATTTTGCAATACTCATGTTAGAGACACTTTCAATTTTAAGTTTGCCAGACAATATGCTCCAAAGCTCCCCATGGCATGAGTCATACACACCTCGATGTATATTTATGAACTTTCAGCCACCTCTACCACTTCATCTCACAATTCATAAGACTAGCTTCACCAGGATTCCCCTTGGCAGCATCACCATTATTAAGCTTGATCCAACTATGATAGGGAGGGTTGTTAGATCACACAAAAATGGTCTTTTAACGACATTCCATGTCCATGGGTCGCACGATACCCGAACTTGCATGATATAATTCCTAACAATAGTGTTGGGCTTTGTTGGGTCACGAGTTTAACAAAGAACAACGCCTCGTGCATATTGATATATGTTGGAGGATTGCCTGAGTTCACAAGCTAGTATTACTTTAGTGGATACAATTATTGTATCCTTCTATTCTGTCATATTTTTATAAATTATGAATAGATAAATTAAATACCTTATATTCTCTCATTTCAACGAATACAAAAATATCACAACTTTGAGACTTTACGGTATTAGAAGTCTCCTTACTAACTAAAAAAAGAGCTTGTCAATCCCAGATGAATACAAAAGGGGAGTGAATTGAGTTACATAATTTTTTTCAATTACACTAATGCATGATTATAATATAATCATCTTGAGCAATTAAGAACAATGCAAATAACTCAAGTAATTTTATACGAAAAACTACAAATGATGGAAAAGAAACCCCAATTTAAATATCTCTATCCAAATTAGAGATAAATCTATGATAATAAGCCAAACTCAAATCAGAGTACAAGAATATAACCTATTATAGAACAATATAAGATTAGACTTATTTCTCCACTACAATCTGCGCACTCAAATCACTTATTAGCTTTAGCAACCCATATTTTCTTATGCCCTTTTATTTTGTCAACAATAATAACATTTTCTTCCTTCTTTTTCCAAAAAAAAGTTTATATCAGTATATAGAAGAATAATTTTTCCCTTTATTGTAGGAATTATTCCTTTCAAATGCATTAATCCTAGATAATCAATCATATTTTAAGTGTCCTATTTTAGCACAGTGGAATCACATTTTTTTCTCATACAAAGTAACATGTTTAGTCATAGTTTTCCATGCAAAATTTTTATCACCTACATACCTCAATAACATGTCTAGATTTATTTTGACTTTTAGTTAAATAGCCTACAACATTGATTTTATTTTTCTTGGGTGAGCTAAGGGCCGACTCTAGCTTATTTGGAGATCCTAATTTTCTCTATTCATTACAATAATTTTTTTACTTCAGTTCTACTATTTTAGATTCAATAACAACACTTACAAAATTATCTCCATGATCAACTTTGTTGATTTTAGCCTCAATTAATTCTACAATTAGTAAAGCTTATAGTTCTTATAATGCCCCATATACAACCGGTTTGTTAACTTATAATATGGTAATAAAAGCGTTGTTTATTTGTATTAATTAGCCGAAGACTTAATAGAAGTATTACAATAGCTTACCACAACTATATATGTGACTTTTTAACAGAAATGGTACAATCCCATACATACCTATATAGAATCCATATATAATATATTTGTGACTATGTCTCATGATCAAATCACTATCCAAATATAATAACTAATATTACTTTGGACAGTGTTTTACGGACAACATAACAACTGAATATTGGACTATAAAGGGATCAAATCCCACTAATATATCTTGTACCTAAAATACAAAAAAGTTCAATATATATAATATCCATATCCTTAATATTAGAATCCATCCATGGATTCCTACACAATTTGACTCTGTATCAATTCATATCCAACTTATATATACAAACATATATGCTTTTACATATCAATCCCAATATATAATTGCGCAACCTTATATACATAACCTCATATGAAGATATATTTTACAAAGCATATATAAAAATATTTCTTTGACATAATATATATACATGTATCCTCTAACATCATAGCCATACATACATATACATCCTCGTGTAAAATATATATAGATGTACAGAGGCTATATATGCCCCTCAAAATACATGCCATAATGTATCCATGCATAGTACTAACATATCATGCTCTTAAACTATACAGTCACCCACTGCTCGTGACATATAACATATATATATATATATATATATATATATATATATATATATACGTATCAGATAACTCTCAACAGTCTATGATCTCTATCCTTGCATGACACTATTATCCTTGGAGGACTCTCCTGCTACTAACTGGGTACCTGAAACATGATTTTCAAACGGGATGAGATATAAAATCTCATAAACTCAGGGTTTATAGAGAAATTTTCTGCCTATGTGTTCACTTCCTGCATGATAGGTCACATAATATAGAGGAATCATATATCACAACATAAACTTTTGCCCTCCAGGGCTATACTCCAAGGGTTGTGTAACATCCCGCATAATTAGGAAATCACATAACTTGCAATTAGGGGTGTGAAACATGATTGAAATTCGAATTAAATGTGTGTTTAGAGCGGAATTAATTTAAGTAGGAAAGTTATCTTGTTGTTATTATAAGCGAGCATGTGTGAATATTTAAAAAGATTCAAGACACTAGTTAAAAGAGATAGAATTACAATTAATTATAATATAGGTAGGAATCCTAATTACTATTTAGGGGAACATGAAATAATAATTAATATGTATATATTTCATGTGATAAGTGAACCTTAGTTACCTCTCACAAAAAAGAAAAGAAATCTGCATGCATGTAATTTGATTGGCCAAGAAATGGCCACATGGCAAATCCCTATCTATCTTATCTCACCACCCCTTGCACCCAATAAGAAGAGAGAAATCTCCTTGCATGAAATTCTATTGGCCATGACAGCCACATCACACCTAGCGCCCAATGAAGGTTAAAGCAATCCTACTTTTCTTTTGTGCCTTGGACCATGCCACTTATACAATCATCAGACCTTGGATTCTTCTTTTCATGGTTCGGCCAAGCCCTTCATGACCAAGGGTTCCATTTTATCAAACCGAAAACCTGATCTCTCTTGAATCAAACCCAGCCGCATGTTTATATCCCTAGCTCCCTGTACGCATAGAAAAGGAATACCCAAGAAAACCGATTGACAATCCGTGATTCAAAGTCACTCTTAGCTTCCATCTTGCTCTCTCTCATCACCGTAAGCCTCTTAGATGAAATCACAAACAATGCTGCATTCCCTTCTTACATCATCCCTATCTCAAATCGTGACCTTCCTAAGGAGACAGCAAAACATTAAGCAAACCAATCCTTTTATTTCTAGTCAGCCGTGTAACTTTAAGCAAGGAGGTTGAAGCTCAACATTCTTTCCCCCTTGTGCGCACAGTCCCACTTTAAGTAGGAGAAGGTAAGGTAATTTTCGCTGCCTTCTTGTTCCTCCTACTTGGACCGATTCTGAGTAAGTTTTTCTCTCTTGTTGGAACACGATTCTGCCTTGATGGAGTCGCACTCTTCTTTGCATGTAGCTGGAACTGGTCTTGTTGGAGCAAGGGGAAAAGTGTAGGACTGTTTCTGTTGGGTTTTAAACTTTATTTGAATAAAAGAAAATAGAAAATGAAAGGTTTTTTGGTGAAGAGGTGTGTCTCTTAGAAATTTGTTAGTGGACATTAATGAGTTTAAATTTCCTAAGTTAGTCATTAGTATTTCTAGTTATTTGCTATTGCTTTTCAATAGTACCATGTAAATCATTTGAATGTAAGGCTTGAATGTTAAAAGATATACAAAGAGGTATATTCAGAGAACTCCTTGTGTGTTTGAAGTGTTTGAGAGAAACACCATTAGAGGACCTGTGATTCACAAATTGGTATCGGAGCTTGAGTTATGGAGAGTGTGAGCACTTCCAGTATGTCGTTGTCCCGCCTGACAAAGGCGAATTACGTGAATTGGAGTATCCAGATGAAGGCGTTGCTCGGATCCCAGGATGCTTGGGATGTTGTTCAGGACGGTTTTGCTGAAACTGCAACCACTGCAGGATTTACAGCAGCTCAAACCAAGGCGTTGAAAGAGACGCATGCGAAGGACAAGTCAGCCTTATACACGTTTTTCCGAGCTGTAGACGAGTCCGGATTTGAGAAGATAGCAGAAGCAACGACGTCTAAGGAAGCATGAGACATCTTGGAAAATGTCTATAAAGGTGCTGATCGAGTAAAGCAGGTCCGACTTCAAACTCTACGTGGCGAGTTGGAAGGCATGAAGATGAAAGATTCAGAGGGTGTATCCGAGTTCATCACCCACGTTCAAGCCGTGGTGAATCAGTTAAAGCAGAATGGTGAGGAATTATCTGAGACTAGAGTTGTTGAAAAGATTCTCAGGTCGTTGACAGACGACTTCGAAAACTTCGAAAACGTGGTATGTGCAATTGAGGAGTCGAAGGACTGGACTACGCTTTCTGTTGAAGAGCTAGCAGGTTCCCTTGAGGCGCATGAGCAGCGCAAGAAGAAGAAAAAGGAGGAGTCGCTGGAGCAAGCACTCCAGACAAAAGCAAACATTAAAGATGAGAAGGCGCTCTATTCTCAAAATGTCGGAGGTAGAGGTCGTGGACGAGCTGGACGTGGAAGTGGACGAGGTGGTTGTGGCCGAGGTCATGAGGTGAGAAATGAAGAAAGAGCTGAATCGAGTCAGAGAGGAAGAGGACGTGGCCGAGGTGGAAAAGGCCGGTGGTCAAATCAAACAAATGTGGAATGTTACAAGTGTGGCAAGTATGGCCATTACTCGAGAGATTGCAACTCGGACAAGTGTTACAACTGTGGCCGAGTTGGGCATTTCGCTAAGGATTGCCGAGATGAAAGAAGAGTTGACGAGGCTTCAAACCTCGCTGTAGAAGGAGATGGAGGAGTTCTTATGCTAGCCCATGGTGAAGCCAGTTCAAAGAATGAGACGGAGTGGTATTTGGATACCGGTGCCAGTAATCACATGTGTGGTTACAAACACTTGTTTAAGGAGTTGAAGACGGTGGAAGCCGGACATGTCTCTTTTGGAGACGTGTCCAAAATTGAAGTAAAGGGTCGAGGTACGATCTTTTTCTTGCAAAAGGATGGACGAGTTGGTACAATCCGGGACGTGTATTACGTGCCCGAGCTCAAAAGTAACATATTGAGCATTGGACAGCTGATGGAGAAGGGTTACTCGGTTCTAATGACAGACCGAGTTCTACTGTTGAAAGATAAACAAGGGCGTCTGATAGCCCGGGTTCAGATGGAAAAGAACAGAATGTACAAGCTGAGTCTAAAGAGCATGGAGGTCGGCTGTCTACAAGCCGGGGTAGAAGATAAGATGGACTTGTGGCATAGACGGTTTGGACACCTTCATTATGGTGGTCTGACCGAGATGATGAAGAAGGACATGGTAGTGGGACTACCGAAGATTAATTCTGAAGGAAGATTTTGCGAGGACTGTGTATTGGGAAAACATGCGAGAAGCCCGTTCCAAAGGATGGCAAGATACCGAGCTAGGCAGCCTCTGGAGTTGATACATACCGACCTGTGTGGACCCATTACTCCGGGGTCCTTCAGTGGTAAGAAATATTTTGTAACTTTTATTGATGACTTTAGTCGAAAGACTTGGGTGTATTTTTTAAAGGAAAAATCCGAGGTGCTAGAGGCATTCAGGAGTTTTAAAACAATGATAGAGAATGGTACTGGAAGATACATCAAGTCGGTCCGCTCAGACCGAGGTGGGGAGTACGTGTCAATAGCTTTCAAGAAGTATTGTGAAGAACATGGGATAAGGCGGTTCTTGACCGCTCCGTACTCGCCCAAGCAGAATGGAGTAGCTGAGAGAAAGAACCGGACTATCCTGGATATGGTCCGATCTATGCTAAAAACGAAGAACATGCCAAAGGAGTTCTGGGGAGAAGCCGTGCAATGTGCCGTGTACGTGCAAAACCGATGTCCGCACTCAAGTGTGAATGATAAAACTCCACAAGAAGCATGGAGTGGTCTAAAGCCATCAGTGGCTCATTTCAAGATTTTTGGTAGTGTTGCGTATGCACACATACCGAATCAATTGAGGACAAAGCTAGAAGATAAAAGTAAGAAGTATGTGTTTATTGGCTATGATGAGAAGACGAAGGGGTACAAGTTGCTGGACCCCGTCAATAAAAAGGTGTTGGTGAGCCGAGATGTAAAAGTGAATGAGGAAGATGGATGGGACTGGAGTAGTCCATCCGGGGTCAATATGGAACCCGGACTAAAATCAATTGAGGTCGGACAACCTTCGACCTGGATTCCTGAGAATCCGAATGACTCAGATAGTGATGAAGAGCAGAGACAACCGAGATTGAGGAGTCTACAAGATTTGTATGATTCCACCAGTGAAGCACACTTGGTATGTCTATTGGCAGATTCTGAAGAAGTAAGCTTTGAAGAAGCAATCCGAGATGAGAAATGGCAATCAGCCATGGAGGAGGAAATAAAGGCGATAGAAAAGAACAAGACGTGGGAGTTAGCCGAGCTTCCCAGAGGAAGTCGACCCATTGGTGTGAAATGGGTCTACAAGAAGAAAATGAACGCTAAGGGGGAGATCGAAAGATACAAAGCCCGGCTAGTGGCGAAAGGGTATAGGCAGAAGGCTGGCATTGATTATGACGAGGTGTTCGCACCCGTAGCAAGAATGGAGACAATCAGGCTGTTGATCTCTCAAGCAGCCCAATTCGGATGGCCGATCTATTAGATGGATGTAAAGTCGGCATTCTTAAATGGAGTACTCGAAGAGGAGGTATATCTGGAACAACCTCCGGGATTCATGAAAGCCGGACAAGAAAGAAAAATGTTGAGACTGAAGAAAGCTTTATATGAATTGAAGCAGGCCCCAAGAGCCTGGAACACAAGAATTGACAATTACTTCAAGAAGGATGGACTTGAACAATGTCCATATGAACATGCACTATATGTGAAGAAGAAAGGAGGTAAAATTCTACTTGTTGCTCTATATGTTGATGATCTGATTTTCTTGGGTAATGATGAAGGGATGATTCAAGATTTTAAGAAGAAAATGAAGAAGGAGTTCGAGATGACGGATCTCGGTCTGATGAGGTACTTTCTTGGTCTGGAGGTCAGACAAGATAAATCTGGGATCTTCGTCTCTCAGGAAGCCTATGCAAAAGGACTTCTAGAGAAGTTTAAAATGACAGACTGCAACCCGGTTTCAACGCCAATGGAACCCGGGTTGAAACTTTCAAAGTATGATGGAGGAGAGAGAGTTGATCCGAGTTACTACCGGAGTCTAGTTGGAAGTCTGAGGTACTTGACGTGTACGAGGCCAGATCTGTGTCTGAGTGTTGGGATCATAAGTCGATTTATGGAAGACTCGGGGTGCACTCACTAGAAGGCGGCTAAGAGAATTCTGAGATATGTGAAGGGAACAATCTCACAAGGACTTCATTACTCGAAGTCGGACAAATACAAGTTGACGGGTTATTCAGACAGTGATTGGTGCGGAGATGTTGATGATAGAAAGAGCACGGCTGGCTATGTGTTTTTCATGGGAAACACGGTTTTCACGTGGGTGTCAAAGAAGGAACCCATTGTGACCCTGTCTACATGTGAAGCCGAGTATGTTGCGGCATCTTGGTGTGTTTGCCATGCAATATGGCTAAGGAATTTACTAAGCAAGCTGGAGCAAGGGCAAGTCGGCGCAACCGAAATCCGAGTTGACAACAAGTCTGCGATCGAGTTAGCAAAGAACCCGGTCAATCATGAGAGGAGTAAGCATATTGATGTCAGGTTTCATTTCATCCGAGATTAAGTCAAAGAAGGAAAAGTGGAGCTGACTCATGTTGCAAGCCGAGATCAAGTTGGAGATATTTTTACAAAGCCCCTGCCGACGTTGTTGTTTGAAAATTGCAAGAAGAAGATGGGAATGAAGGATGGTAGAGATATTAAAGTTTAAGGAGGAGTTTTGTTGGGTTTTAAACTTTATTTGAATAAAAGAAAATAGAAAATGAAAGGTTTTTTGGTGAAGAGGTGTGTCTCTTAGGAATTTGTTAGTGGATATTAATGAGTTTAAATTTCCTAAGTTAGTCATTAGTATTTCTAGTTATTTGCTATTGCTTTTAAATAGTACCATGTAAATCATTTGAATGTAAGGCTTGAATGTTAAAAGATATACAAAGAGGTATATTCAGAGAACTCCTTGTGTGTTTGAAGTGTTTGAGAGAAACACCATTAGAGGACCTGTGATTCACAGTTTCTTGGTTTAGGGTGGTCTCTTGTTCGTTAATGAGCTGGTGAGTTGAGTTCCGATTTTCCCTTCTCCTCTCTTGCTCTGTTTCGGCTAGTTTGTAAATTCTAAAAAGAAATTTCTGTTTGGTAATCCTTCGTTTCAATTCTGCCCAAACTGTAAATCCTTGGTGCATGCATGCTTAAATGACCATTTTAAGATTGGAAGAGAATTAATTGTCATGCTTTAGGACTGCCCTTTTGGGCAGAATAATGATGCAACTTTGTATGCTGTAATTTTGAGTAGACAGCCTATGTAAGGGTCACAATTAGCGCACCTCATGTTTAACTAGGAGGATACTTTAATTTGATGATTTTCCTTGCATAAATTTTGTCCTTTGAACCACCCTTTTTGGTGTTGATATATGTTAATCCAAAGCTAAATGGTGTGAACATGGTCATAGCTATTTAATTGTTGGACTGCCCTTAGTTAGAAGGAGAACTATACAGCTATACATGTTTTAATTCTGTTAAACAGCCTTGGAATTGGTACTGTATGTCAAAATTGATGTTTAGGGAACTTGGAAAAATAATCCCTTAATATTATTAGAACGGGTCCGTGGGTTATGAAAAACTGGTTGAACGTTCCTTGTGCTAAAAGTTTATATACAGCTTGCTTAAGACCTTGTTCACCCAACCGTAGGTCTTAGAGAAAATGTTACACAAATCAATAAATTCTGTGCCCTTAATTCTTGCCTAAGCCGAGTTAGTAGGTGTAGGTTACCTTGTGACTGTATTACTTGTTAGCAATTGTAGTGTTTTTTTAAAAAGGAAAGTGTGAGCATCTAATGGATGAACAAAGCTTTAAATATGTTAAAAATCTACTTTGGGCAGCGTGTGAAAGTCTAATTATTATCCCCCTAAGTCGTGTAGAACATGTTAGGTAATGAGATATTTTAAGTTCCTAGGTGATGGCTGTGTAAGTCGAACCTGTATGCATAGGACTCCTTGAGCGTTGTTAAGTGATAACCATTAGTTATGCACCCTTAAATATGAAAATTGGCTAGTTATGAACTTTGAAAGTTAATTATAAACCAAGTACTAAGAAGGGCGGAAAACACTACAATGGGTAGAAGAGATAAAATAAATATGCTGAGCACTTAGTAATGAATGAAAATCGAACCCGCACGTATTGAACAACTTGGATTTTGTAAATTAAGGACAATTAATGAATTAATATTACGGCAGAAAATTCGCTTAGTATATAGACCTGGAAACCGATTATGAACCAAAGAGTTAGGAGAATGAGAAAGCTATGTATTGTATGGGAAATATATGTGATGAATTCTGACTTGGTATATATGTTTGTTAGGTGCTCTAACCTCTAAAAGAGTAGGCTGATTGGTGATGTTTTGATTAAAAACGTTAAAGACTTGAGGTAAGTGTTTGATGGTGAGACCTATTGTGACTATTAGCTAGCGTATGAAATTTTGAACTGATGCTCACATGTGCCTATGATTTGTATTCGGTTATATGTTATATGTATTCTGCCTTTGGATTTGACATTATGGAAATTCTGTTTTGGGAATTCTTTGTGATTCGGCAGCTTGATATTAAAAGTACGAGAAATATATGCTATTATGATCTAGTCATGCATATACATCTCATGATTCATTTGTTTCTGTTTGTGTGTGCCAAACATGTCATAGCATACAACACTATGCATTCATTCTGGAAACCGAAGTATATAATAAAAATAAGCATACGTTTGAGCACGCATCATATAGGCATCCCTCCGGTACCAGGGTATGGGACACTTGGCTTCAGTCCGCATAGGTCGCAGTTAGAACCCTCTTGAGGAGCCACTATGGGATCTCCATTGTGCTTGTTAGTACGTGCACTACAGTGCTATGAACGTACCCTTTGGCGTTATATACGCATCTTGATTAGTATTTTGGCGTTATATACGCAATATGATTAGTACTTTGGCGTTATAATATACGCACTATGATTATGTGTTAGCATCTGTCCGGAAAAATTAAATGTTGATGCGACTGTTTTGAAATTTTGTACCTAGTCTAATATTGTTGCTTTACTGGTTTTACTATCACACTACTTGGATTTTTCTCACCCCTTCGGGGGCTCAATTTTTATAAATTGCAGGAGGACTTAGAAGCATTTGAAGGGGTGTTTGATGACATGATCACATGAATAATTCTATTTAAGTTATGTTGTTGGCAACCTTGCTGTTTGTTAGCTATCTCTGCTCATTGTATTCTGATTATTTGACTTGGTGTAGTTTCTTAAAGAATGGCATGCCATGATGTATATTCTGTTTTGAAAGGAAGCGTAGCACGATTTTTATATCTCTAGTATTTAGTTTGCGAAAATTATTGTTGTAGTATTTAAATTCGGATTTTTGAGCTGTTTTTGCGAGCACTTTGCGAGTTGTCGTTCTGGGGCTATAGACCTCCGAATGAGGTATAATTTATATGCATGTAAAGCCCCAACTGTTTACTTTCAGATTATATAAAGATTATGTTCAAAGCTTGTAATCCCGATTTATTATTATTTTTACAAGTCATGAGGTTTTTAGAAAAATACACTGAATTTTCAAGTACTTTGTGAGTTCTGTTTCGAGGGGCTATTCTCCTCCGATTCGCTTACAATTTATATGTACGCGAAGCCCCGGATGTTTAGTTTCCTTGCGTCAAAGAATATTTTTTTAAGCTGTTGATTTTGAATTTACATGATTTTTGCAAGACAGACTGTTTTCAGGAAAATTAGAGTCGCGCAGCGAAAGCCTTTTTTAAAAATTTATTTGCTTTATTTTTCAAAGTCAATTTTCTAGGCAAGCTTTTCTAATTGGAAATATCAAAACAAAATTACGGAATAAGAATTTTACACGTTAACGTTACGTCTCTAATCAGTTTTAGCAGACAACTCCCTTGGATGCATACAGGGGAGGGTGTCACAGGTTGAATCCCACAAAGAGAGCCAAAAATATACCTCCGAGAATCATAAATTTCCATGGAAGAACATACATGGTGATCAGAAGACTAGTGTCCCCCTTAGATTATAAATCCATATATCGGGATCATAACCATGATGTCATACACGGTGATCAGGAGACTAATGTCCCCACGGATTACAATATGCATATTGGGATCATAACCGTGTAACATGGTGATCTGGAGACTAATGTCCCCACATATCAGGATCATAATTGTGCATGTGTTCACTGATCAGGAACCATAATCCACATTTCTTATCATATCATAACATAACACATACTTAATATATCATATCATAACATAACACATACTTAATATATCATATCATAACACATAGTTAATATATCATATCATATGCATGTGCTATATGAATGCATCTATACTAGTATCTAACATATATCAATCATACCAGCATAGAACCAAGATCCCATTGGACCACGGTGGAACAACAAAGTAGAGAAATACTCCTAAATCAAGAGCTTACCTGTATAGCTTCCTTTGCATGTAACTTGTAATCCAAGAAACTTACAGACTCGAATGTTCACTAGTAGTTGTCCATTTGAACTTGATTTTCAACAATCACTACTCTTGATTCCACACTATACATACATAATGAAATATCATTAACCATCAATGACATATTACTTGAACATTGAAGAAATCTTCAATAAGGTGGTTCATATAGTCAATCCCATATTCTTATTTGCCAATTCATGCCACCAAACAAGTCATATCCATTATTTCATACATTTAAGAACTTTAACATATTATGTCATTAACCTAATCATTAGGTTAATTTAGGTTTTTAACCTCTTTTTACTTGACATACACTTGCATCTTGAACCCAATTAGGTCTTAATAATTCATACTCATTAGAAATGTGCTTGGAACAATATTCCATGTATCAAGCATGATTAACAAAGCTTCCAACTATAGGAAACTCATCATGGTCGAAGCATGCTATGGCCAATTCACATGTTTGCCAATCTTTTCATTTACTAATTAAGGATTCATTCAATTCCTTAATATCTTATACTTGTTCAATATAAACCAACTAACCAAACATAACACTTAAGCAATATGACCACTTAAGGTCTCAATGGCACTCCTATGCCTTTAATTATTCAGCCACTTAATCCATTGCACTTTAGCACATAGGATTAACACTAAACATCATTTAAATACCAATCCACAACTTCCAAGCCATTTATTCCTCTTATGGTTAAATTGATTACATACCAATTTCATGAATTTTACATACTTTATCTTTAATAATTCATGTTCCACTTATACTCATCATATACAAGGAACATCACACAATAGTTAAACATTATAAAACACCATTCCAAGGCCACTTGTACATATTTGCCGAGTTGCACACAAAAGGATTCATATACTTATCAACTTCCCATCATTATAAATCATATTACTCCTTACTAAACCATATTATGATCATTCTTTATTCACACATACATGATCAAATACTTGATGCTATATGGCCAAATGTCCTATTCATTGGTTCCATGAATTTCCTTTAAATCCAACTAGTTATCCATCACACCATTTCTTCACATATAACAATATCAAAATCCTAATTGCATATATCAATTTCAAACCATTATAATTAAGGTTTCTCACCATAGTTAGCTTCTAATACACCTATATATACTTCTCCAAGTATCAAACCATGAAGACAAGCCCTCCTAGCTCCTAGAACAACATGTATATCGATGGATATAGCATGGAAAAACTCCTTCAAAATGGCCCCAAACAAGGAACTAAATGGAAGGTTATGATAACTAGGTGTAAGCCTTTATTTTTTTGTGTTGGATGTTTAACCTAAAAATTACTTAATCATTAAGCTATGAACTTTCCCTTTGCTTCCATGAACTCACAACCAAGAAGAGAAAGAAGAGAAGAAAATGGTGTGAAAAGAAAGAAAGGAAGAGGAAGAAGAGGTGATGTGATGGTGAATCTATCTTGGTGACTTAGTGACCAAGACAAGGAAACTTAGTGAGCAAGTAGGGGGCAGCCAACTTGGAAGACAAGAAAGAAAAATGAGAAACTTACTCAACACACTACTTAACCTTCAATTGAAATTAATTCTACTGGTTACCATTTAACCTACTTTGACTCATTTTATTTAATTCATCTAACCATAATTAATTAAATATAATAGCATATTGATTCCCTTATTTTTCCTAAACAAATTAAATATATCATATACTTCAAGTTTAGGCCAAGTTTTACTTTATAATTCCATTTGGATATTAACTGACTTATTTTGCATGAACTGTATCCTTACACTCATAGCCATGTGAATCACATGATTTACTTGTCACAATTCCCTTGAATACACACGTATTTCTTAAATACTTGCTTAGTTAGCTTGCTTAACATAATTTTATAGTGAAGGTTGTTATAGTTCTCAAGTTCTAAAACTTGGCTCTTAAGTTTGAGCATTTTGTCTTTAAAAGTATTATTTTATTTATTCAACTCTTCACTTTTAGCCTCTAGCTTTCCAATTTTAGTATTATATTCTGCATTGTTTAAGTTTTCACTTATGTCTCCTTTATTTTGATTGGCTTCTTTTAATAATAAAGATGCATTCCAACTTTTTAATTCCAAAATAGTATTTTTAAGCTTAAGGTTCCCATCCCTTAGTTTATAATTTGTCGTAGCCAATTTTTTGTTTTCCTTAGATACATTTTTAAGTCCATTCTTTTGATCACCAAATCCATCTAAAAGCTCATCATTTTGTTCACTTGATACCATCTATTCTTCTATTAGTAAATACACTTGCTTAATTAAATGCTTCTCGGACGGCTTATGCGACTACTAAAAAAACCTTATTTGTGACGAAATTTTGTCATTTGCGAAGGAATTTGATAGATTGCAACATATACTGGGACAGACAATTTCGTTGCAAATCAGCTTTTTTTTAGTAATGTGTATAATGACCCTTCGTAGTAAGTCTTGATGTTAAAAGAGGATTTTGATATAGATTAGTAAGTTTGGCATGTTTTGAGATAAGTAAGCTTGTGATGCTTATTTTGATGAGTTAATCACTTGATTGACATGAAGAGAAGTATGATGATACAATTCATGTAAGATATGTTAATTGGGACCCTAATGGTATTATTTTTAAAGTTTGTAGTTCAAAGTATAATTATGTGAAAGTTTACGGACCAAATTAAAAATAAGCAAAATACTTAGCCTAAACTTGATTCTGTTGATTTAATCAAATTCTTTGAATAATTTTAATGACTAGACGTGGTCTTAGATTAATCTAATTATGACTGGATTAAATCTTTTAATTGAGTTTAAGTTTGATTATATATAAACCAATGGTATTGGTTTTAAGGTCTAGAAGTCAAAGATGAGTGGAAATTACTAAGGTAAACTACTTTGTTACATTTTCACTCTATAAAGTCCGTTGTTTTCCTTCTCTTTATCCTTGTGTGCAGCCAAAATTTATATATATATGATGAACCAATGAGATTTAAGGGAATGTTGACTAAGTAAACTTGGAAGAAAAGTTAGAAAACTTACTAATTAAGTCAAGTAAATTATGTCATTTTCCTATACACATTCGGTTGCTTCTTTCTTCCGTGTCCTACGCATTTTTCTTCTTCTTTCTTGCTTATGATGGCCTAACCTATGCTTGGTGAAAGAACAAGTTCATATCTTGAGATTTAAACATTTTTAGAACAAGATTTCTACATGAAACGTGTAGCTTGTGAGCTTGTGAACTTAGTCATCTACTTTGTTCTTCTTGAAAGCCTTGTTTGAGTGTGTTTTTCTCTCCCTATTACTTCAAACTACAAGATTTTTTTGGAGGAAAAGTTGCTTTGTTTGATGGTTTAAAGTTTGGAGATCAATCTCGTGTTACTTTGGAAGCTATACAAGGTAATAAACTTGATGTTTGATGGATGAAAAATGAGTTATGAACTTGGTTTTCTTTGATTTAGGGTTTGATAACATGATACTTTATTATGATGTTTTGATGTGGTTAAGGCTTGTGATACAACCAGCAACAGTAAAAGGAAGAAATATACGTATATTATTGAAATCCAACGGCAATTCGAGGTTGCCGGCGACTCGAGAGAAATTTAAGGAAGAAGATAAGAATTCAATTACAAATTATCAGATACCTCTACTGTAGCATACTACCACAATAAGAGAAGAAACAACATTACTAGTGGGCCATTGACAGTGGTCCACGACTACAATTAAAGATTAATACTCAAATTGAGCAAGTTGGGCTTCATCCGGTTCGGCCCATGATCATTGACAGTGGTCGAAGATTACAATTAAAGAGTAATACTCAAATTGAGCATGTTGGGCTTCATCCGGTTCGGCCCATGATACCCATCAGGTAATCCTTGGTCCATTTGGACCTCATCCTGATTCTTTCTCCCCTCCGTT